GTTGGGTTTTCCTAGAGACTCGGTTGGAACTGGATTCTTTCATTTGGAAAGAATTCTAGTTAAGGACCGAGCGTCTTCGTTCAGTAATATCTGTATATAAGCGTTCAACCAATGATATTCATTCCTTGGTGTTTGATGATAAACTTAAGTATATCTATATGTATTTGTATATTTCGTTCGTTCGTAAACACTATTTAAATGGTATCTTATTATATTTATCAAGTCTTTCTTTTATAAGTTTAGTAGTGCTCGGTCTTACACCAAGCACTCGTACTAAGTAGTGTTCGGTCTTACACCAAGCGCTCGTACTAAGTAATTGTTCGGTCTTGCACCTAGCGCTAGTTCTCATTTCCGTAATCTATCTTTATAATGAGAGCGTTCGTCCAAACTCAATAGTGTTCGCTCTCTACACTGTCCAGTCTTCGACTGGCATTCGGTTTCCTTGATGTTTAACTCATTAAGAAACTAAGTATTTATTGGCGTTCGGTTTCTTTATATGATTCCGTCAAGTGCTATTATTTGATGTCTTACAATATATGTGTTAATTGGTTTCAGCCTAGAGTCTCAGTACTCGGCCTAGGCTTTACGATGTTCGGTTTGAACTCTCAAGAGTTAGTTCATTAAATTGGCTCACTTAGTAAACAACATTCGATTATATTAGTCTCTGAGAAGTATTATTATATTCGGTCATTTTCACAACTAGTGAGTAACTCTTTCAATTTGATTATGTTTGAGTTGGAGACATCTCGGTCTCACTCCAAGTGTTACGTCTTGTTCTGGATTAAAAACTAACGTTCGGTATTTGGCATCCTACGGGATCTTTATTCAAATTGGTTAAGTTGAAGTTTTAATGATGAAAGATGATGGAATATGATATGGATGAAATGACTTTGATTATGAAAGAGTATTATGGGGAGGAATATCTCATGAATGAATATTGGAATTAGTAAAGTATGAATGTGGGCACGCTAAGCTGGCGGATCATCATGATATTTCGTGATTACTCGTTCTCACGTAGAGAAGGATAAGTCATGTGTGGGAATGGCAGGAGGTCCTAGTCCTTATGGTTAATTTGGACAAATAGGATTAACCTCGGGTGGCAGCTGTTGAGGGTATCCCAGTTACTACATCACCCGGGTGCACGAACGTCGTAGCTACATAGAATTCATACAGTCCGGACAGTCAGAGTCTAGTATTAGGCTTTGCATGAAGGAGTTAATGATTTATCTTGTTTAGTTGATTGTGTGAAATATATGCTGATACATGAATTAAATTACATAAGTTTACCCTATTTTACTGTCTTGTCCGTTTTGTATGTTCGGTCGTTTGTCCTGTTGCAATGATCATCCGTGTGGATGTGAGCAAAAGGAGAAGAGATGCTGGAAGAAGAAAGTTTGGTCGAGGTAGAAGTTAAGACCGAATAATATAACCGTTCGGTCAGTAGTTAGTTTATTTGTACGATGACCGTTCGATCATCTTTTACCTTTTTCTTTTGTAAGACCGTTCGGTATAGGCCTTTTGTATACCATTCGGTCTAGATTGCTTATTTGTATAGTTTTAACTTTATCGTTACTCTGTAAGGTCGTTCGGCCATAAGCGTACGTCCTATCTTTTGTAAGACTAATCTGTAGTATTATTAACATGTGATTATTCTATTATATAGTTTTATACTGTATATTTGGGATGTTACAACAATTTAATTAAATTTATTTTCTATAACAAAAATACACGTGAGTATATTTTTTTCATGTGGCAAAAAAATATATTATTATATTAAAATTATGAAATTAAATTCAAATAATTTTTATAATTTTATAATAAGTATTTTTTAGTTTTTTTTTAAATTTTTTATTTCAAATGATTATTTTAATTAAAAATAATAATCAATTTTAAAAATGATAAAAAATGTTTAAATTAAAAAAAACAATTACTTAAAAGATAAAATAATTATTTTAATTTGAAAAAATATTTAAAAAATAAAATTGAAAATAACATATATAATTTTTTTTGGTGTAATAGTATAAATTAATTAGGTTCGAAATATGCTAACTCAATTTAATTTGTTACATTTAAATTGTAAAACCCCTAAAATGATTAGGGTTTCTTTGAATTATGAAGATGGTAGCAAAAGAATGCTCTCCTCAATCACTCCCAATGTTTCTTCCTTTTCTCTGACGAAATGGCAATCATCGTCCCCAAACGCCTCTTCACCCTCCGCGCCGCTTATTCCCTAATTCCATTCACGCGGCCACAAACTTCTCTCCCCCTCACGCGCCCCCTACTCCACGCGCGCCCGTCCTCCACCCAGCCATCGAGAACCCCGTCGGAGAAACAATTCGAGACGTGGGTGCAGGCCCTGAAACCGGGCTTCACCCCCTTCGACGTTGCCGAGGCCCTGCAGGCCCAATCAGACCCGGACCTGGCCCTCGATATCTTCCGCTGGACCGCGCAGCAGCGCAACTACAAGCACACTAGCCAAACCTACCTCCTCATCATCAAACACCTAATCGCCGGCCGCCGCTACCACCACGCCGAAACCCTGATAGAGGAGGTCATTGCCGGCGCCTGCCACGACGTCTCCGTCCCTCTCTACAACTCTATCATTCGATTCTGCTGCGGTCGCAAATTCCTCTTCAATCGCGCCTTCGATGTCTACAAGAAGATGCTTAATTCCAACGATTGTAAACCTGACCTCGAAACCTATTCCCTTTTGTTCAACTCGCTGCTTCGGAGGTTCAATAAGTTGCATGTTTGTTACGTGTATCTGCACGCAGTTAGGTCTTTGACTAAGCAAATGAAGGCTTCTGGTGTTATTCCTGATACCTTTGTATTGAACATGATCATCAAGGCTTATGCCATGTGCTTGGAGGTGGATGAGGCGGTTCGGGTTTTTCGCGAAATGGGGTTGTATGGCTGTGAGCCTAACGCTTATAGTTATGGCTACCTTGCCAAGGGGTTGTGTGAGAAAGGGAGGGTGAGTCAGGGTTTGGAGTTTTATAGGGAGATGAGAGTGAAGGGTCTTGTGCCTAGTACCAGTACTTACGTGATAATCGTGTGTAGTCTTGCGATGGAGCGAAGGTTTGAGGACGCCATTGAGGTTGTGTTTGATATGTTGGGGCAGTCTAGGTCCCCTGATCATCTCACTTACAAGACTGTTTTGGAAGGGTTGTGTCGGGAGGGAAGGGTCGATGATGCTTTTGAACTGCTTGATGAATGGAAGAAGAGGGATGCTTCCATGGGTGAGAAGATGTACGTGAGTTTGTTGGACGGGTTGCATTTTTCGTGCCGGGAGTAGGTTTTGTGCTAATGCCTTTGCTTGAGGTAGCATAAGATGCATATAAAGCTGCTTTTGTTGGAGTATAACTTGTTAATCTCCTGCTCTTATGAGGAAGCTGATTCTTTTGAATGAGTGCTAATGCAGATAAATAATTGTATTTGCTTGGAGAATTGCTCTCAACATCTTTTGGACTAATTTAACTTGCAATGTGAATGGAGGGGGCACCTGAGTAGGTGTTAGTTCTATAAACACTGATATTGATGATAAGGTGGCGCAAGCTTCTTTTATGATAAAATGTTGCTTCTGAGCACGCTGAATGGACTAGACCACGGCCTTGTAAATCCTGAGGTTCAATTTCCACCTAATGTTGTTGTTATGCAATCATGCAGAAGTTGTTCGTGGGTAGTTTGCCGTAGCGGATGAGTATCTTATGGTATTTTGCAAAAAAACCAAAGCTACCCGATATTCATCTGATTGTTCTTTGTTGCTAACTTCTTTCCCTTAGTTCATCATTTTGTTTCTCCAATAATTAATCTTCAATAGATGTTAGCTAAAAGTTTTACAGTTGCTAGCATTTGTCTGTATTAGTTACAGATATTTATTTTTTAGCCCTAATTCCCCTTAGCAACCCTACTGGTCTTGATGGCGTAAGGGGAGAAATTACATTGATCTTCTGTATTAAATTGAACAACTCAATTTTTAAATTGATAAGAATATGTGTTATTGTATTTCTAATTGTTGGTGGATTAGTTAGTTTCATACTTTTTTGTTCAATAGTCAGCTGCACCTAAGATCATGTTGCAATAATTTTATTCAGTAATTTTAGTGTATTTCATGAATCGGATTCAATAAAATTGATACTCGCATGTGTAATTCAATATATTTTTTGCTGTTTCCTTGCTCAATTGTTTTTCTTTTTATCATTAAACAAAAATCAATAAATGGTATTGAAGACCTCTTGTCGAGGAACATGTGAAAATGAACGTTGAATCAAATTTCTCACAAATTGGTCCTCCACTCTTTGATGTTTGATCTTGATCTTTGAGGAAAGAAACAATTACGCTCACTATCTCTCTGGTTTTTTTATATTAGTATATTACATTTATATAATTGAATAAACAAATCAGGTAAGGTATGTGTTAACGAGAAGAATATATGACATTAGTTTGCTTAAATTAAAAGACGTTTGTGTAGGGTAGACAAAAAACAGAAGCAGAAAGGTAGACTATCTAGTGAATTTTTGCCAATTCTGAGATTGAATATAAGTTGTCAAAACTCTTAACTCACACACATCATTATTCGTAGCAGTATCTCCTCCGTCAATTGTCTTTTACACTTTATTAATTACAAAGTATACTCTACTGAACCCGTCAATTGTCTTTTACACTTTATTAATTACAAAGTATACTCTACTGAACCGGCTGCTTGTTTATAGCAGTATAACTGCTTTGCTTAAGCAGTAATAACACATGAATAGAACCTAAAATAAGAGCATACTTATAAGTGATGTCATAATCCATAATATGAATTCGGTCATGGTTTAAATCTACCCCTTGTACCCCTGAAAACCCCAATACATCCTCCTACGACGAGCTACTTTTAAACACAATATTCAACATTGTCGATTTGTGACGAAGTAAAAGGTCATATCACTTCTCACTCAGTACCGAAATTTATGAATTGCATACTGAACACCATAACACTTATCCGCAAGTAATACAAGTTGAACAAACACATCATAACATTACACGGAAATATTACCAGTCCATCCAACAATTTCTACACAATCACATTCACAACAGTTAACACTCAACATCGTGGTTCCTAAGACGTATTATGAACAATGAATGTCTGAAGGTATCCCTACAAGACTAAAACTAACACGTAAAAAGCAGTTGAAATTCAGATAATTACATCAAACAGCTGTTCTTCTCGAAACTGAAGATAATGCATCTTCAAACTGGTCATCTTCTATCTTCTCAGAACTCAAGCTAGGTGGAATGAAAGATCTGAAAATCAATTCCATGTTGGGGGGTTCCTTAAGTGGATTAGCTGCAACCTCAAGTGCAGGATGTTCGAAGGCAGGGTAGAATTTCTTTCCGCAGACAAAACCAAAGATCAGTGACAAAAAGGGAAGAGGAAGCACAAGTGGTGTATAGTAGAATTTCTGCGCCCCAAAGTATCCAAACATGGTAATTTGATATAATATCAGAGATGCTAGTACACGCTTGTGTATGTGAGGCCACATTCTTCCATAACTTTCATATGTTGGTACGTAGACTTTGAGTGCCTGTTGGTTAACACAAATATACACAAACCCGTAAGAAAATACTTACTAACGGATGTGATTTCAAAATAGCATGGTAAAACGGACTTCACTAAAGCCAGTAAAGAAAACAAAATTCCAAGAACTTCACCTGATTTCGCAGGACAAGCCATCCTAGGCCAAAATATAGAACACCAAATGGGATTATTACAGGAGCAATAACAGAGTAACAGAACACGATTGTGACAATCAGCATGTCACCCGGAACTCTTGTTGCATAACCAAGATCTCCAGGTTGCCAAGCCTCTTTCAACTCAGCTTCGGTCTTGCAAAGATACTTTCTCTTCAAATGGTATATAATGAGAGGAACTATTCGGGACAGTTCAAGGCCATAGCCAACGAAAAATCTAAGACAGAAAAAATCAATTAATATGTGTCATGTCAAGTGTTTTAAAATTAAAAGAGAAAGGTGAAGCCTTTTCTACTTATGTCAAATCTAGTAGGAATAGTCCAATTTTTCAACTTTAAACTTTACACCCAAATCATGTGAGAAAATATGATGCCTTTAAAAAACACAGTAACTTTTACTGCAAAAGAATGCAGGAAAAGATAACAACAAGATACAATGAGGAAGACCATTTCCTAAAATTTTAAGCCTTCTGCATTTCCTTTTGCTTGTAAATAAACAAAATAAAGTATCACCACAGATAAATAAACCAAATAAAATAAAGTTAGGAAGACATCTTACTTAAGGGCGACATAGGTCAAGAAAAAAGTAGCATTTCCGGGGAGGCTTTCAGCTAGCAAGGACGCAATTTCATTTATGTTGGGGTTATCCTGAATTCTATGGAATGCTTTGAACAAGGTTCCACCTATAGTAACTCCAATGAAAACGTTCAGCACGATGAAATAATAGTATTTTCCAGATGCAGCTCTAACTGCGTGACTTTCAGTTGGAATGCCTTCAAATTTAGACAAGAACAGAAGCAACTTGGGTAACAATGCCAAGAAAATAATCAGCGCAAGCTGAGGGAGGTAAGCTTCCAACACTGTTCTTAAAGCCTTTATACGAACAATTGGCTTTATAAATGGAAGATATTTCACCAAATTATCCAAAGTAGTAAATGCAGATATAAATGTAATTGGGATCATGTAGAAGAATATAGTCAATGCCACAATGACATAAACCAAGTACTGCCTCAGCTCTCTCTGAAAATACTTGATTTTCAAATTAGGCCATATTAGTTGAATGGGTTCAGGAGCATCAAACACTGACCAAGTGTCAACCATTTGCGCATGCAAACTCTGAGCTGCAGAAGCTGCAACCACCCTACTTGAGAAAAACACCAGAGCAGCGTCTTGCTGCTTCTCTCTAAGGGTGACCTTTTGCTCAGATTCCAATTTGGTAACAAGTTCATTAATCTTATCATTGTAATAATCTATGCTATCGACCTTTTCACCAACAAGTCCAAGGAAGCCAGTCTTGTTAGTAGGTCTTGTTCCTTCTGGTTTTGCAGTTGTTTTAGACCTTTCATATACTGCTTCGGCACGGGCAAGCTTCTTCTTAAACCCTTCTAAGCTCTCCCAAGTCTTGTTCACCTGTTAGCAATAACTTTGAGCAATTAAATTAAATACTACAATATTCAGTGAGGAAAAACTAGGAAGAAACGTCATCACAGGCTATTTATACATTTACACAACGGGAACAACAAATTCGTTAGACATTTGCATTTTTAGAATTAAACAATATAATGGGTTACTTCTATAGAAATTATCCTCATTTTCTTTCATCTGCAAGATGTATGGCCACATTAAATGGATTTTATATGCATCATCTTTTAAAACTTTGATATGGAGTCAGAAATAGTATAGTTAATTGAGAGGGTATGGAAGAAGATAATCGTACGAACACCTTACCACTTTGTTGTCTGTTACGATCATAGATCTGTAAAATGCCTCTGGGTAGATGGCTTTAAAGTAAGTGTCAACCTGTTCCTTCTTAGTCTGACCTTGAGTAGCATTAGGTATGTCTCTCACAACTATAGCAAACTGTTGAGGCCTCACATCAGGGGACTTAAGAGCTTCAGCTCGCAGCCATGAGACATGTTTGTAAGCTCTCCACAGGAGAACAAATGTAACGATTGAAACCCAGTAACAGGCAATTAAAAATCCCCACAGCCTTGAACTCCTTGCCTACACTGACAACAAGTTATTCAGTGTCTGGCATTATTATCATTCGTAGGTATTAAAGAAACTCATTAGCTGTTTAACTCCGTAAAAATATTGGTCGTTACTTTTCACACACACACAGCTAATACGTTGAATCAAAGGAAGATTTAGCATAATATTTTTGAAAGAAAAAAAAACACTGATCTTACCGTGATGTTAGCCATTGATAACTTGTCAAGTTCATTGAAAGTTCCTTTGCTAGTTGTTTGTGCTTTTGCATCTTGTCTCTTCAGAGCATTGTCAGTAGCAGAAAGCGGCAGAAGAACGGGTAGCAGAATAACTCCAGATAAAACTAGGATGCCCAACACTGGCACAGAACAATAATAATAATAATTAAAATCCTTTATGTTGGATTCACTACTGATCCCATAAACATGTTATGGTCAACTATTGTAAAATATGAAAGTTTACCACCAGACAAACATATTTATAGGGGAAAATAATATTATAGTGGAAAATACTTGTCTTCTCTTTCTGTGTTATGTGATGGGAAAACATATTTTGAGGATGAAAACGCAATGCTAGAGTCTACAAGCCACACACAGGTCACAGACAAGCTAGCATTTTGCTCACACAATCAAGAACCTGGCTTTCGTAACCATTTAAAAATGTACTATGGTGAATCAATAGCAAAAAAAGATGACAATCTAAATAAAAGCAAACTGGAATAACATGTGACTTTCTTAGTGTAATTCAAAATTTCTTTCTCAGTTTTGTTTAATACTAGTACTGCAAATAGAACCAAGAATTAGTCCTTCACTACGAACATGAGATAAAGACCAAAGCTCGAGATTTCAAGTATTACTTAAATCAGTTCCCCAAATTTTATCCAAATATCATTCCTGACGGTTAATGTTTCTAAAGAATTCTGTTTCAGCTCTTAAAAGGCTAAACTAATTCAAAAACCTCCGTTACTAATTAGTTTGAAAATCCTAGTGTAAATCCTGTTTCAGCTCTTAAAGGCTAAACCGAAGAATAGTGAACAGTGAATACAATGAAATGCTCTTGTTTCCTGTACAAATTATCAAAAACAGAACACGAAGGTAGCATTATTGTAATTATCAGTGAAAATTTCTCAAGGGACCAGACAATTTAACGAAGATTCTTCTATGCTTTCATTGAACATAACTCACGATGCAGTTCCTATGTGCTTTTTGGTATTATTCTTCAATCAAAATTGAAGTTTCATTTAGATAAAAACTCCAATTTTTAACGGAGAACAGGACCAAAAACTACCCATAAAACCATATCCAAGTTTATTCTAGGAGCTTCGACAAAGAGGAAGTTATACAGCAGGCAGATATATAGATAGAAAAAAGGGAAAAGGGAGAAACCAGTGGTGAGAAAGACAAAGTAGACGGCAGTGTCAACCCCAGACATGGCAACAATATCACGTTCTGAAGAAGACATGGCCTCCTTGATCCATGAGAAAGGGTTGCGGCTCTTGGGCCCTCCTTCCGACGGATCCAACCCCTTGAGGATCCTGTTGGGGTAGTACACCACATTGTTCCCAGGCTTACTCGATAGAAAAGCAAACACGATCATCAAAACCAAAAATATCAGAAACGAAGTTCCCAGGGACGTCAAAAACGAAGTAAAATCCATCTGGGCCTCTCACTTTTCTCACAATACAACACAATACAACACAAAGTCCCTCACTTGATCAACATCAACGAATGCACCGTAGCCGTTACCACTCCCTTCATTCAAACCAACCGTTGCAAACGGTTACGAAGCATGACAATAAAAGGGTGTTGTTTTATGTAGCAATGATAGCAAACGGCAATGACACGAAGGAAGAAGATGAAAGGAAAATGGATATAATAAAGAAGGAGATATTTTGAGCAAAGGTGGTAGTTGTGTTGTGGGGCACCTTACGTTTTGGATTGCTTGTGTTCAATTAATGTAATGAATCGAAGGTTTTATTTTTGAGTTTGCGTGGCAATTAAGAGTGGGATGAGTGTGTGCGAGCGCGGAAATAATGCAAAACGGTGATGCAGAGGAGCTGTTGAAAAAGACAAAACTTTTTCATGTCCCTATTTCTGTATTACAGAGATGCCCCTGCATGCCAATATTACCCCTCAATAATTTGAATCAGGGATCTCGTGCCTCTTGCTTCCAGAATTATCGCAAGTGATACCCTTTTTCAACTTACCTTAAACTATACAACATTACAGAGGAAAAGTGTATGTCTTAGTAAATATGGGCTAATTTGCAGTGTAGGGATATACATTTTTTTCCCCTGTAAATTTTATCTAGATGTTAGATTTTGTTTTTTCCTTCTAAAAGATGAATTCTCAGAAGCAAATCTGAAACCACTCAAATTTGATTGAAGTTTACAGAAGCGGAGAAAAAAACGGGACCTATTCACGTGCTGTCCATGAGATTCAAAAGGAAGTCAAAATATATTTTGTGTATTTCTAGCTTCTTGCTTACCATCAGAAGTCCATAACGGTACGCTGTCTGTTATGTGTCTACAAAAGAACACTAAAGTAGATTTCCATTCAAAATAAACACGTATTACGTAAAGCTAATATTACGTGGATTATTTTATTCACAATTCACGTATTTAATAAACCATTCATTTCACAAAGATCATAAAATCATTTCATTCATCATGTTGATTCTTTGCCTTCTGAAAATCTTTAGCAGGCTTTGTATACTTTCTGATGTTTCAAACCAATTCATGTTCCAATTTCAGAGTAATGTGTATATCTTCCCCAAGTGTACTCGATAAACTTGTATTTTAGGTAGATTTTCCCAGAAACCCATCTCTTTCTGGCCACCGAACTTCATGACAGCTCCAAACACTTCACATTGATAGTTGCAAAGCACAGATCACTCTAGTTGGTGTACCCCATCAAAAAGTTTTTCTTTTTTCGGAAATATCGTTCAATATTTTATGTTTTAAACATACAAAATGAAGCAATGACCTTTTATTTTCTTTACTTTATTAATACTGTTACTTTTTTTCAGTAACAGTGCCGAAAGTAAACACACAGACGTCGTAAATGGAGAATTTTATTTTTCACGTGTTTAGTACATATTATATGATTAAAAAAATAAGTAACTCATTAGCATTAGTCAAATATGTTTGGAAATAAAACAAGCTACTGAAAATGTCAAAGTAGTTTTATGAAAAGCAAGTAGGAGATTTTTCATTAAAGAAAAAGGATTGAGTGAGAGAGGCATATATAATTAAAATACACAACACACTCTAAATTTGAGCAAATTGCTTAATAAATTAGTATGAACATAATTACAATATACAGCATAGTCGTGTCATTATTACCCACTATAGTATGCATTATATTATATTACATAATACATATGGAACTTGAGTTTGATTCGAAAAACAGAAAAGTACAAGAGATCTGGATCATGTGCATGATATTTCTTTTGTAGTTGTGGGAAAAAACAAAGAGAGGGATCAAACCATGGGCATTGTGGTAACTGCAGGGAATATGGATAAAATCAGTTAACCGGTAATATTCTAGATCTACATTTGTACCAATGGGCAGTCCAATTCAAATTGACTATTTGTTCGTTACACACGCATGTTGCTGTCGACATGGGTAGTAATTTTACCCTAAGAGTGAGGAAACAGTGTATCCAGCTGACACGTGTCGGTGGTACTAGGAACAGGTGGCACCTGGATGTGTTGCCGACAGAGGGATCCACATATTGGATAGATAAGAAGGAAAGCTATGCAAATGCTATTATGCTACACATACCTACCTTCAAGACCATTCAAACCAAATTTTCTTTCCACTAAAAATAAAAACTTTAACTTTTTGCCTCTCTCACAAATCATTCGTATTTTCTTAAAAACACAAATTAAAGTTTTAATTCCTAGATTTGTCATGACATGTATACGTAATTATTTTCAGTTCGGTGAGATATGTATTAGGATTTAGTAGTGTATGTAATTATTTTCGGTTGGGTGAGATGATAACAACTGAGGTGGGTCATGGCATGTGCCAACTAACGAGAGAAATGAGAATGAGAAGTGTGGTAGGGTTGAGATTTGGGGGACCATACAAGTTGAGTTTTTTGAAAGTGAAACACGCGGTAGACACGGATGAAAGTAGCAGTGAATTAAACCTTGCATACCTCTTTTCTTTTCTCTACTTTAGTGGACCCATTCTTATCAATCATGATTCACCAATATATCTCTATGACTTTCAGGACATTCGGATATGTTCTTTTTATTTCATTTTTTAAAGTTGTTCACAGCTACCTGTACAATTTTTGTTATTAAAAAATTATACATTAGGCTCAAATTTTGTTGAAGTATAAGGATTAGACAAGGGTGCTGGATATTCCCTGCTTTTAATTAGCTTTCATTTCACGTTTTAAGAATAAAGTATGAATGAACAACATGCTCACGAGTATTATTTTTTTAATGTTTTTTTTTCTCCTTGCAGTGATCCTTTTGATGTGGAATGAATTTTTCAGAATATATATTTTATATTTCGGAAAGTTTATTTTAAAATAATAGAGGTATGCAAGAACAAATACCCTTCGACAACTAAGATCACTAGTTTTTTGGTCGAGGTGGGCCAAATACGCTTTCAAAAGGCTGATGATTATTTAAAGCGAAAAGAAAAAGTGGAAGTAGTATGAAGAGCATGCTAAATTCTATTTTCTTTGGAATTGAATATGTGTAATAACTTCGTCCAACAGTAATGTATATGAAATAGGTACAAGATTTAAAATATACAAGGGCAAATCATCTGAAGTTGCAGCATCTTGCAGGACCTCTTGACAAGTTGTCCCACAGACAGAGCAATTGCCTGGGTGATTGATAATGTGCAGTGAAGTAGCCTTCCCTGCATCCGTACTGACAAAACTTCCAGTTGTGGGAATACTGAACTGCGGCCACCGTATTGTTGAATCTCCCAACCCACACTCCCATGCTTACATCCTCCATTTTAAAAAGCTGCCACCATAATCAAAACGTTTCATCAGTCAATAGAATGTTACTTTCTGCAAGTGGTTATAGAATGTTGGTTTTGGTAACAAACCCGCAGCCTCCTTTCCTTGTGTTGGGATATGATGAAAGTAACAATGTCTCTGGACAGTATGTATGCAGGGCCATTTGATTAATATATATTCAGCAAGATAAGAGAAAGGATGGTGTGTCGTTACTTTTTTTCTTTTTTGCATAAATTGAAAAAATTGTATAAACAAACAGAAAATGTACACACTTGCATGTTACCTACAAGTTTAACTAAATGTGACAACTATGATACCTCATATGTAACAGCCCATTTGCCATTTCTCATAGGGCGATGCAGGAGATTGAGATTGCCCATGTAAAGGGGCTTATTCCGGGGTACAGCTTCGATTTCTTTCAAGATAGTATCCACCCTGATGAAAGTGTCATCATCAACTTTCATGATATATGCAGTACTCACATTCTGAATCTGCATTGAAGAAAATTGTCTTATAAAACCGGAAACAACAGAAAAATGAGAGGGAGCTGTAAGAGTTGCACATTACGAGGGAGCTGATAGATATTAGCTGGACAAATGCAATTTACTCACCCCCCAATATCTGTAAATAGTAAAAGAAAAGCACGAAATCTGACTAAATTCACTCACCCCAAACTCACAGATAGCCATGGTTTTAAGCACAACAAGGTCGTAGCGGTCCATAAAGGGCAAAATGACAGTGTCACCTATTAACTTCCTTCCTTGGATTCTTCATGTTGATGTTTAAAAATTATAACAGGTAACAAAACACAGACAAATCAGCCATATCACATCAATAAGAAGAAGAATAGTGGAAAAAAAAAACACAGAAAGCCCTTGGTCAAAATGAAAAAAAATTGTTTACAAATTGCATTCTATTTCATAGCACTCCGAAATAACTACATTTATCTACATTTCTATATTTTTCTTTAGAAATTAGAATTATATTATAAATGACCAATACAGAGGTGGATTACAAATATAAAATAAGTGATTTGCACAACCAATAGTGATTCCCATGAACCAACCAATGTAGTTACTAAAAGTATAACCAACTAAAACAACAATCTCATGCAAATATAAACTATTTATATCAGCTATATTAAAAGATAAATATTGGAAAAATCGAACCTCTTGTAAACTTGAAATCAATAAGAGCTTCTTGGAGCACAAAAGTAGCTAAGGTGATAACTAGCTTTAGGTACCTAGTGATACACTGAACTCGCTGGGCTCCATTGCAAATTTGGATCACGAATTGAATGAATGTTCTATGATGCTAAATGTATGCAATGCCTTAGGAAACCTGATCCTAGAGCACTTCTCATCTTCTCTTCTTCTTTCCAAAATCAATTTCAGCAGCTTACAAGTGAGGTATGGCAACCATGTCTCAATTTATTTCAACAAGGATTAGCAAAAACTATAGCCAGACAACCAATAGATCACGACTGACCTTTGTTAAGTGAGAGTTTTATAAAAACCTGAAGATCCCTTCTATGTCACTGACTTCTCTGTTTATTTTAATTAAAGTTTCCAGGTGAATGGATCAGATCCTAGCTCTTGAAATTAAGAAATTTCCAATTAAAATAACTAGAGACTCCAAATTCTATTTGCCGAAGCTTTTGGGCCATCAAAGTGGAAGTTACCAGGTCCACTTGAAGGTCAGAAATATTTTATGTTGTCCCTTCAGGGTTTGAGTACATACTTTTACCCATAATTTCCACAAAATGACCCCGGAAGGTTGTTTTTCTCTTCTTCATGAAATTCTTACAGAAGTTCTAGTGTTCAACAACATTATTGGTATGATGTAGCACAATACTATTGTGATGTCTAAGACAGGGTATTTCCTTAATAAAAAAACCAAAAAATACTCATTTTGGAAGTGTTCCTCCAACTCAAATATCAGAACTCACCGTCTCTCTGAACGAAGGAAATTCAACCCCATAATAATCATAAGTGTCTCAAATATTACATTGAAGGTAAATTTATATTTTCTAAACCAAATATAGTAAAGTTAACTATATTCTGAGCAGGCATAAGATACTTCAAAATAGAATAAAAAACCCTGGTCACAATAAATTCTCCCAAATCATCAATGGTATCACGCATTTCTCCATGCTCGTACCAGATTAAAAGTAGATCATTTTCACGCCAAAAAAAGGCAGAGGCCATACCAATGCAACAAAGAATCGTACTATCACATCCGAAGACTTGATTGTAGCAGCTTTCATCCATGTTTTTCGAACTGCCATACGTTCTGCAAAGTGATTTGACGCAGAAAGAACTCCAATGAAAAGCCTAATAGCATGTTTAGGTAGAGCACCGGCTTTCCAGGTTTCTGACATTTCCAGTACTCTTTGAGGTGAGAAAATTGGATCTGAAGTAGGTAGAGAAGTGGCAAAAACTGAATGAACATCAAGGTCCCCTTTAACCACCAATCCTGTAGCATCTTCCAGTGTAAAACCCTAATGAGAAAGGGGAACGAAAAATCATCCTGGCAAAACTTGTAATCACAGAGCAGTATAGAATTCAGAAATTAATTTCAATTATCCGACTAGTTTAATACCTTCAGGCAAATGGTAAGTAAGAGAGACATCATCATCAGTATAAACTACAATGTAACCGTGGGTATGCCATAGACCAAGATTCTATCTAGATGCTCTATAGAATCCGTCATAAATGCAAGAGGATTCATATGAAATTGATATGTTTTTTTAATTCTGGTAGAATACTAAATATTACTATAACTATTTACGCTAGAATATTGTATTATCTAAATTAGCTGGTTACTTAAGGCCACGAGTTAGTTGCCAATAATTAGTCGGTAACATAGTTTCTGGTTAACTCCTAATTAGTTCCTTGATTACTCTAGTGACTGGTTGCAATCAGGCTACGCATAAAAGATCAATCATAAGTACAACATGTAATTCCCTCCTTAGGACAACTTTCCCTCAATAATTCCCTCCTTCAACCAACTACAACATGCAAAATAAAAGTAACATTAAGAAACTCATCCCCTTGAATAATGATTGTCATGTATTAATCACGCAATTTCACTGCATCAAGATCTTTAGTGGAACATAAGATGAAAACTTCTGTGGTGTCTTGATTAACTTACTGTGCGATATGGAAATGAAGTCATATGGCGACCCCCAACATTGATGTGGTATCCATCAACACCAGCACGTAAAGTAAGGACAAACATTCTACCCTCCGTAAACGGAAATGGCCAGGTCACTTCTGGCTTCTGCTTACGCCCTATAAATCGCTTTAACCGTGACGTTGTCTTGGACTCTTTCGAATCTAAAATGTCATTCAGCATCCATTTTTCACATCTCCTGTACCCATCAACTGCCAAGCATGACAAAAAATTTACTTATATATTAAATTAACACCCACAAAGAAGATAAAAAATTAGGCAGAAAAATAATAATTATGGAACTCTAAAATAATTATTTTAGAGTGAATGACATTCTATACAAATTATTACCCACTATATTATAAAATAATCAAACCATAAAGAACTATTTTCTGCATGCTTCCATACTGTCATTTATCAAATATTAATAAACAAAGATTACCCATATCACAAAAACTAGAGAAGTTGCATTAGTTTATTATACTTGCCTTTTGTTCACGGTGATAGTTGGGTTCTTGTGATGGAAAATGTCAGGGAGATTGAGCACACAAGAGTCTCATGAGCAAACGTTATAAGAGATCAAGACACCGTCTTTAACCCAAAACCTTAAGATTAGATTTGTGAGTCTTCTTTCTTATTGTTCATCTTGTTCTCTTCTATTCAGTGTGAGACTCAAGCTCACTCAGAATCCTAACAGTAATGATTTTACGTACTGATCATAGATAGTTGCCGAATAAGGATATATCCTAATAGCCAAAAGTCTTAACATCCTTTTATTCACGTCAACAAAATCTGCAAATGGAACCTTATGTATACAAAATGCTCATGCAACAAAAATCTTGCATCTAATTCGAAGTTCGTAAGTATTTGATAAATGTTAACCCAAAACAGCTTTTCAGCCAAAACCTCCAACAGCAGCATTTTGAATAAAGACTTTTCAGAACACAAAAGCACTAATCCAAACTTGCACTACTATATAAACCCTATAATTATGACAAGAATAATCATTACTTTTGCTGTGTTCCTTTTAATAGCATGCTACAAACAGCCAATAAGTGTTCTTTGGCTAACTATACAAGTAACAAGGCACTCCTTATTTTCATGCGCATTTGTCGTCATCATCTTCTTATTCCATCAGTTTCAAGATTACTAAACCTACTTACTTTGCTGTTTTCTTCCCATTCTACATAACGACAATGCAACTCCATCCTGCAACACTTTTTTTTCCCTACTTAACATACTCAAAGTGAACATGAAACATGACAAAATCATACCAAGCATTTCTTCAGTATCCTCAGATGGCGAACCATCGCATCTTTGAGATGTTCCCCAGTGCATTCGATAACAAGTATTATGCTCAATAACCGGTTGTTTGCTCCAATCCCCTCTTAACCTAGGATTCAGGTGAAGAATCTTAGGAGGATCTTCCCCTTCCACTGACCTTAGCCCTAGTAATTCAACCACAAACTGTGAAACCGAAACCAATACTAATCCATCACCTTTCCCCGTGGACCTCGACCTTGCTTGCACAGGAGCATACTCCATATGAGCGTGATGAGGTGTTCCTACCACAGTGACTGAAGAACCAGCAGCAAGACCACAAGGAATAAACATCAAGCCACCCCCCTTCAACAAATCTTCCCTGCTCATTGATATCCAAGAAGGACACAACTCGGTCTTTCTTTCAATTCTTTCTCCAGCCTCCTTATCATCAACCTGCTCCAATTCTTTCCAAGCCTTCAAGCCCAATGTCCAAGCCTCATCTGCCATTTTCTCTAAAACACAGTCACGTTGCTTCGCCGCAAGATTTCCCCGGTAATCCTACCATATCCCTTAGGAATATGCTTCACAGATTCTAGACCAAGATCTTCCTCTTTCGTTGGTTCCTCCTTTGGCCTCAAGGGAGCATCCTGGCTCCTATCATCCACTAACCTCCAATGAAATGCGTCTTTATAAACAGAACTAACAAAAGGCTGGCTCAAAGCTGCATCATCAGTGTCCCCAGTAGCATTCACCCTATCCAATCCAACTCCATTGTAACTCTCATCCCCACTCAACGATGAGACGACTTTCTCAAACTGTGAAAAGTTACACAATATATAAACCAAGTACAACACCCCAACAGCAACCAAAAAATGAGACAACCTAAACCTCCTTGAATTAGAGGTTTCGTTTTTCAATCTCTTCATCTTCAAATAATAATACAATCTAGTCTACAACAAGTCCCTCAAAACCCCGTGGCCCACAAACAAACTCAAAATGTGAAGGCAAACCCACCAATCCAAAGAAAGCAACGTGGCAACGTGTTGGAGAGTTGTTGGTGGGCTTTGAGGGAAAGATGAAAAGAATCAAACTTTCATGTAAATCAAATTAAAACAACCAATGCTGCAGTGATTCGATCGACTGCCATGGGACGCGCAGTCCTACATCATGCGGGAAGTAGCATCTGAAGAAACGTCATAAACAGAGTGGAAGCAGAGAGGTAGGTAGTTGAATGGAACTTTTGTATTAGAGGAAGGCATTCAAGGGGGGAATAATCAATTTTAATTTTTCAATGCTTGTGAAAAAAATAACTACGTAAAGAAAAATAATTCTATAGTGCTATTTACTTATAAAATATTTTAGGTATAATTTATTAATTTTTATAAATAACAGTTTAATGAGCTAATAATATTGCAGCTAACTTTCTATTTCTCCTCCATCGCCTTCTTCTGCATTTTTCACTGCTCCTTCGTCTTGGAGACAACCTCAGAGAAAGCTCTTGTTTGAAACTTCCTTATTGTCATGCAAAACAAGTGTAATATTCAAACCTGAAATGAATAGATTTAGATACATCAAATGTAATTTTGAACATTAGATTGAGACAAAAAAATCACATAATTTTATAAAGTTGTACTTTGATCTGAGTCAACATCTAATAGCTTCTCAAAATTATTTTTCAGGAAAAATTAACTTCGTAATATGTGAGTTTCGTTAAGGCTAAAATGTTGGAAACATATTATTTTCACTTATTTTATAGATAAATTTATATTATAAATAATTATTTTAATTTTAAAAAAATAAATTTAAAAGAAACTATCAAATAAAAAAAAAGTAGTTACATTTTAAAAAGGATCTATATAAACAAAAGATAAATCTCTATATATAAAATTGTGTAAATATATATTTTATTTTTTCTCTCTGAAAATTTAAATAGCCAAGTCAAACTTGGTCGCCACGCAATGAGAACTTAAGTATAAATACGACTTTTCTAAAGTTTCCAGACAAAGGAATAACTTTGGTTTTGGAATTTGGGAATTAGGGTTGTTTGCATTGTGAAGATGATCGAGGTGGTGTTGAACGATCGATTAGGAAAGAAGGTGCGCGTGAAGTGCAACGACGATGACACCATCGGCGATCTGAAGAAGCTTGTGGCGGCTCAGACGGGCACCAGAGCCGACAAGATCCGTATCCAGAAGTGGTACACCATCTACAAGGATCACATCACTCTGAAGGATTACGAGATTCATGACGGCATGGGTCTCGAACTCTACTACAACTAAACTCAAAGTATTTCAATTTTTCTTTTAATCCTTTTCAAGTTGGTATTAGGGTTTTATATTTTAGGGTTTTCAAGATTCGATTTCTCCCGTCCTTTGTTCTTCTGCAATTAAGCTGTTTTCTGATATGTCTGTAATTCTAATAATTCGACTTAGACAATAACATAGTGTATTTTCGTTTCTTTGTTTCAGGTGTGTTTATACGCATGATACTATGTATTGTGAATGGGATAAGCTCTAAATGTAATTCTGACTTCCTAAAGCCCCTTAGTTTGAATAATGTATATCCCTTACTATGGGTGATCGATGTATTGGAGCTCATGCAGTGTTTGCTTATGCCTTTTTGCTTTTTAATTCTATAATGTTAGAACACGTGAATCTACATTTACGAGTTCAATGTTATCTAAAATCACGTGTTTTTTTTTCTATAACTTGAAATGCCAAAGATTCAAATTGAAGATAGTAAGCCAATGCAGTTTTAAGTATTCTTTTTTCATAGTAATTATGTGGTAAGTTAAACTAAGGTTATAGCCCTACATAAGCAGTCTTTCATTCGACGTTTTACATATTCATCGTTTTTCGTATGGAGGTCAAATTAACATATTCATCAGACCTAATCTTCTAATCTTGTGACTGTTCGTGGATAGATGTTCTTTGAACTGTTGTTCTATTTTGGCATTTGAATTCACGAAATCTGCCATGTGGTTATTAATTGCTTAATTAATAAGTTAACTGATGTTTTTGAATGCCCCCAAAAGTTGATAGAGCATTTCCGAATGTTCAAAAGATTGTATGATTATTTCTTTTTGGAAAAGCTTAGGATTGCAGTTTGACAGTCATTGGCAAACACTCTATTTGCAATTAACAGTTCTTTGCCTATTATCTAGTACGCTCACGTCTCACTACAAATGGGTATAACATCCTTATTCTCAGTGTATACCTGTATGTACCCCAAGATCTGTCTTTTATTTGTAACCGGTGATTTTCAAATTCAGTCTGAATTCCTTAACCATTTAATATACTCTGCCTGATAGAGGTGTGAGAGGTCTTTCCCATTCAGAACTTATGAACTGTAATGTTTATATCTATCCAAACGCAGTCTGATGTTTTTATGACTCCTCTGTCTCGCATTGTTTTATAAAGATTCATCTTACGGGACATGGACCCTGTGTTCAATCAATCCCCTTATTCACCATTCCAGAATGAGTACATGCTGTTAACACTTGTCATTCCATGTCCTAGCATACCTCTTCAGAGCTTCATTAGGACGCAATCCTGACATGCCACGAGATAACATCAAGTCTTGGGGGCACAGCAATCCTGATATTCCACGATTTGCATCAAGTCTCGGGGCAGAGAGAATGGGAAGAATTGGGTTGATTGAGTTGGCGCATGGTTAGTTCGTGTGTACATGATAGCACTTGGCACATGATAGCACTTAACACTTGTCATTCCATCAAATATGTGCTTAAGTCTCATGTTTGTGTTCAGGATACCAGTGCTTGGACTAAAGAACATTTTCAGCAACATCTTATTTTATTATACGAGGAATTATAGAAATATACTTCCCGGTAACCAAACTGTTCGGTTTGCAGAGCGATTGATTAAAATAATAGATTTTCATTCTCACGCTTGTTTGAATTGCCGTTCCCAATCACTCACAGTACGTTCATTCTCTGATCAGTAAATGCGATACGTTCTTATCTTATAATATGAAAAGTACGTTTGAAAAGGGAACAAAACATGTTATTCATCTTCTCTATCGCAATTCTTAGTTTTTACGTGGAAAGGACTAAAATTGTTAGGTCAATACTAAATGTTAGATACAGATATTTTCATTATTTTTCTACTCCATACGCATGTGCATGTAGTTTTGTATTTACAGTGTCTATGCCATCTACCTATCTACCTAATCGACAAGCAACTTCTGCATGCTGCCGCATTCAAGTGGTCGTTAAACATGATCAGGCACAACCTTCTGGAGTAAATGGATATACACAGGTAGTATTTGCCATTAGTGAGCCAAGGGTTCTTCAAACAAGAAACTACTCCAGATAATCAACACAGGTTAGCTAAGGAATGAATAGGGTTAGTCACTTTGTTTATGGACAGAAAATATGGAAAATCAAGAGTCATTGTCAATGGCAAAAAAGGATGGACACCCCTAAGAGCCCCCATCGGAAAGTGCACCATAATCACCCTAGAGTTTCAAATCTGACAGGATCTCACCTTTGTATGTACCATACTAAGAAATAAATAGAGCTAAAACATTTGCTCTATACAACCATCTCAACTAAAATGATCAGACAAAAAGAAACAACAGAATGTTTGAGGATCTGCAACACCAAAAGTTGTGATGACCACAATTCCACCTGTCAGACACAGTAATGTAAGAAATGTGAGAATAGCACACCCTGAACTTCTCTACCAACATATTTGATTGTCAAGTTACAGACACAGAAAAAATAGAATGCAAGTCAGAAGGAAATAATCATCTGCTCTTACTTGTGCTATTGTGAAGTTCATTGAAATCTCTCAACCATTTCCATGATCTGGTTTTCCATTCGTAGTGGAAGTTGGTGTTTTCATATCACCGCTATTGCTACTCTCTGACTTTTTTCTAAAGCCAAATCTTTTTGGTAAAATACTCCAACTTTTCTTTGTCTTAGTCAACTTCTGGAGCTCGCTTCTGATGCTTGAGCATTCCTTCTCCAGTTCCAAAAGACGTTCCCTCAAGTTTTCATTTCCCTCTGCAGTGTCCCGTTGACAAAGATCGTCATTGGGGAGGACATTTCCACTGTGCTGATGTCCGTTCTCAAGATTGTCAGAAACAAAAAACCATCCAGATATAGATGTCCGGAGTCTAAGCTGTTCAAAAAACAGGACTTGAACAATTACTCGTAGAGGCAGTCTTTCATTTTGTGCTGCATGAGTGCTTGCTTCCAGCGAGAGCTTTTGACAGTTCATCAATCTACAGAGTTGCTCCCGTTCAGAATCTGTCAGCCATGGATGTATCTGTAATTGTCAGAGTTTTACATTAGAATGATCATATAATAATATTATTATATTACTCTTGCGAGGTCGTTCTCAGAAGTGAAGATTTCTAAAGCATATTGAGATAAAAACAAAACTACCATTTCATTGTTTAGATTTATGATTGAACTTTTAAAGAAAAAGTTGGTCCCATTCCATATCTCCAAATTGGAGGGAAGAACAAGAAAAGATATTGGATGAAATGGAATTTACTGCATTGCCTCATTGCTCCATCCATTCGATTCCATCACACTTTAAATAATCTAAAATATGAAACCTAGTAGTCTATTGTATGAGAGATTCACTCACCAAATAGACTTGTTAAACACTTTTTTTCTTGGTCATGAGTTTAATTTTATTTTCATTCTCAATATAACTGCGGATAAGGCAGTAAGATGTAGCTTTCAAATATCACTAATACTAATTTGGTTCATTCTTCCCCAATTTCAATTCTGCTTCAAAAGTTATCTACATACCAAAACATTTAGGTAAACCAGAAACATAACACAGGTTAGGATTGGTTATCAAAATTATCTAACCTTAAGGTATACATCTATTGCATGGTATACACCATCATCAAGTGGCCTAGCATAATCTGGAATTGCAATAGCAAGTGCCTGAAACTTAGCCAAACTCATATTAGTATCTGAAGCCACCTCAGCAAGATATCCATCAAGCAAATTTGCAACCATTGTCATAGGTGTCAATGCATCAGCTCCAGCCATCAATGCCCCCTGTTCAATTATACATGGAGAAGCTGCTACAGATGCAGGCTGGTATATAGACATAAAATGATCAAGGATCCTCTGGATGCAGTCTATATCATATAGTGTCTCCATTGAGTATCCCATATTTGGAATGAGAAGATCGACAAGTTCAGCCTGATCTAGTTGAGCTCCTACCCTTCTCTCCAAATTTTCTCTACATGATGGACTTGCACTCAATATCATGGCTGTGCGAAGCAGCCTAAGCAAATTCTTTGAGGATGTGACCCCTCTTTTATTAGGAATCAGCTCCACAATTTCTTCAAGTAGAGCCCTTTGGTCTGCTTCGGAAGTACTAGGAATGGTAGCATGGCCTTTATCGGTGAAGCTTGATTGCCTATTCATTAAGGGGAGAAACCTCCTAAGATAATATATGAGAGATGCAGCAACAACATCAGATTTCATTCCTTTTGCTTCAATTGCTATAATGAGTCGTTTATACAAGGGTAGGCTTAACAAAGACACATCATAAAACCACCAACCATCCCTTTGAGAAGATCTTGTATCAGTAGAAATTCCATTCAATAATGCACGGTTGTCTGCTTGATTTTGCTTGCAATTACGTGCAGCCACTGGCCAGCTGAATAAGTTCGGATCTGAACAAGCCTTCATAGCTAAGGAATCAATGCATCTTGAAACTATATGGAGGTCTTCCGCAAAGGGTTGCACTTCCTCACATGTTTCAAGGGCTTTTATGGAATCTCGCCAATTGCTGAAAATTTCATTGAGAAAAGTCTCAGTCTGTGAAACAAGATTTCCTTCACCATACTCTTCAGTCATTTGCAGGTACTCAGCTGCACATCTTAGGCTGACTACATTTAATGATGTGATTTCTATTTTTACACCGTAGCAGAAGCTGGTTATATCCTCAAATGTTGTTGCTCCTCCGGGAACATCATGAAGTTGCAAAACACAACTTGGTCCATCCTCATTAGAGGACTCTGCAATAAGTTTCTTCAGTAGGCCACTTCTAGAAAGCAATGGAAACTGCATCAAAATCACAAACACAAACGTAGAAACAAACTAAGGATCAACTTGAAAAGGCATTCAAAGTCATAGAAGTTGAAGAGACGGGGACAGATCAACTACACAACGCATGCAGCATATGAAAGAATACAACTTAGACGCAGATCTTTAGGAGCTTCTAGTGTTGTTCTCGTGTCAAAATTGAAGCTTCACCTTGGTAACTTATATTCATTTTTAATGCAAACCTAAAAGCACACGCATCTAAGTTGTCTAATGCTAAATAGGACCAAGCACCTTGTGGAGGAAAAACGAGATTTCGCCAACTTCAACGGTCACGTCACTTGGTAGTCCTGTCGTACACACCCTGAATGCAAAACAATATTAGTATAAATGATCCAAATCAGGAGAATTCAAAAACAAAGTGATGAAAAAACCGCCAAGGGACACAAGGTTACATTTTTATTTATGTGGGAACCTAACAATTATGAAATTAACAAAACGAAGGTTAATGGCAGAAGGAACCATTAAAGTATAGATTTTGAAAGAGATGAATGATCACCACGTTTGACCTTCCCGACGAAAAGGTTCAGACTTTGACCCCTGCTTCATGAATGCCATTATTATTCATATATCTAATTAATTATTTGGAATACGGATTGTTGTTTGAA